AAGCCAATTGCCAATCCAATGCCAACAACGTCCCTCTACCCCCTTCCATGTCCTCCAGGAACCCCTTTATGATCCCGTGGCCCTCAACCATTGACCTACCCGGCAACCCAAACTGAGACTCAAACACCACCCTCCCCACAATGCACTTAAGGCTATTCCCAAGAATTTTCGTGAACAGCTTATAATCAGCACAAAGCAACGAAATGGCTCGGCAATCCCGAAGAGTACTCTGCTTTTTACCCTTCAGGACCAACACCACCACCGCCGTTGCCTGCGATTCTCCCATCTTACCTTCGTCTTTCATGGCATTCATTAACCTTACTAGGAAACCCCTTAGCAGACCCCAGTGTTGTACATAAAATTCGCTTGGTAAACCATTTATCCCAGGCGCCTCTCCCTTCCTCATGTCCATAAGGGCTCTTCATATTTCCTCTTCCTCAATGACCCCACCCAGTGCCTCCGGATCACTCCTCCTCAGTTTGCATGACACATACTCACATACCTGCCCATGAACCTCGCCATCCACGACACTACTTTTCCCGTACTCCTCAAACCATCTATCTGCATACGCACTCATCCCCGTTGTTTCCCGTAATACCTGACCCTCTCGAAAAACCCCCACTGAAGAAATGACTTGCAATCCTGGTATTGTAGTTGTTTGCTGTCGTACCTTCTGTCCTTGCAACATGCAAGCCGATGGCTTGTCGCCCCAGAGTACTTCGTCCAGCCCCGCTTGTGCCCGTACTGCTGCAAAATGCTCTTCTTACAAATCTTTTACCCTGTCCTTCAACATTTGTATTTCCTCCACGGGGTACACCCCCGCCACCGCCCCCCCCTCGTAACAATCCTGTAATCTAGATTCTAAATAATTTGACAAACCATACCGCAATTGATTAATGCGTTTGCCCTCCCTCACATAAAATTGACGTATTCTTACCTTAGCCACACTATCCCACCATCCTACCACATCCTCCTCAGTCCTTCCCTCTGCACAGAGCTGTTCCCAAAATACTGCAAAACCTTCCACTCCCTCCCCATCCCCCAAAACCATCGTATTCAGTTTCCAATAGCTTCCCTGCCTACGAGTCAAAGCTTCCCACCCCACCTCCGCTATGACCGCCCTATGATCGGAAGACACCATCTCAATAGTTTTAAAAGACTCTACCAAAACCCTCCGAGATAAATATATCCTGTCCAAACGAGCTGCGTATCCCTGCTTCATAAAAGTATGTTCCACCTCCCACAGACCTCCCCCAAAAGCATCATGTAACTGAAGATCTCTAAACAGGCCCCCTAAGACTAAGGAAAAATATCCCGCTCCTCTGGGTTCCACGTCTGCCCTCTTAACTACACAATTCCAATCCCCCCCCCCACAATCGCCACAGACGGTAACGTGCGTAGGAAGTACACAAGTTCCTCCCGCACAAAATCCGTCTTTACTTTCACGTCACTTTCTGCTGGGGCATACACACACACAAACGCCACTCTCTCTCCCATCCACCATCCTTCCACACATAATACTCTCCCCCCTTCCCCCTCTTTCCTGTGCAATACAAACGGGCTCACCTCCCTTATCAACACACCCACTCCTCCTTTTAAACGCTCAAATGGCAACACATAAGCTTGGTACCCAGGCACAACTAATTCACGACCAAGTTTAAAATTGTGTTCCTGCACAAAAGCCACGTCAACCTTGTATCTATTCAAAAACATCCGGAAGCACTCACGTTTTACACCATCACACAGACCATTAATATTTATTGTTACACACCTGAGGCCGGTTTAAGGTTTCCCTCCCCGCCTCATTTCCAGGCACTTCCCTTTCTGACCATTCCCCTGGGCATTGTCTTTGCCACGTACTCCACCCTCCTTCCCAACCATCATCCCCCTTCTGTTGTGGCCCTCTCTTAGAGTCACTCTGGGTACCATAACCCCATGCCTTTTTCCCTGGCCTTTGCGCCGGCGTCAGAACATCGTCTGAATCTGACGCCGCCGCCCTTATCCTCGTTGCTCACTCAGTCTCCATATCTGTGTCCTGGGAGTCCTCACAATGGACTTCCACTCTACCACCCTTAATTCGCCTCCATGCCCTTCCATGGCACTTGCACTGTCCATCACAGGTGCCACCTGGTCCTCCCTCCTCCCGCACACACCTCCTTCTGCCCCGATCCCAGGTTCCTGCTCGCTGCGACTCTCCACCTCCGTAGATTGTAAAATAGCCTGTAACACCGTCGCCAACTCCTCCTCGATAGCTTTCACTTCTGCGCCCACTTGCACCTCCTCACTCGACAACTGTACTATCAATGGGCTGGGTGATTCACGAATCTCCACATCCCTTTCCGATTCCACAGGAGGACCCACCACCTCTTCACTCCTCGTGCGACCATGCCCTCCTCCTTGCCTCTGTTCTTCCTCAGGCATCGTTTTCTCATGCGTAGGCACTCCGCCTCTTGCCGGCCCAGTAGCCACATTCCGCTTGTCACAATCTGCCGCCATGTGGTCATATTCGCCACACAGTCGGCACGTACGCCTCTGCCCAGCATACGCCACCATTACCTTCGTTTTAAACTCCTCGAGATATACATACGAAGGTATAGGATGTCTCACCGTCATCTTGAGATTGAAAGTACCCTCAGGAAATCCTGCGTAAGCTCCTTTTACCCATTTTCCAGGATGGGCTAGATGTACAGTCCCATATTTTTCAAAAACACTTCTGATATCTGCTTCATCAGCCTCAAAAGGCACGTTGCGGAGCTTGACCCACGAATATTGTTGTGATACATCCGTCAACCTGACCCTCACTGCCGGTGTTATTTTAATGCTGACATCTTGTTAACGATCCACCAACGCCTCGTACACTTGAGCTGTTAGCACTTTAACGAATATTCTATAAAAACCATTTAGTGCCACTCCATACAAATCCTCGTCTCTAATGCCGTATGTCTCTCTTATAATTTTGGGCAATAACACCTCGACTGACGTAGGCGTTAAAGCCCCACTAATGAGCTCAATGCCCACAGTATTCACTCTCCGGCGCACACCTATCACCATATTGTTGTCCGAGTAGCTCGTCTGGGTAAACAGTAGAGGGGTGCAAAGCACGACCGCACTCTACCTCATCCACGCAGCGAATTTCTCTACAGTACAATTGCTCTATACCTTTTTTTCAGCGTCAACCAGCCGGTGGAAAACTCTTAAAGGTTGTTTTGGAAATGAAATTTTAAAACCCTTTGAAAAGCAAAATTTTGAAAAATGCTATTGGCAAAAAAAAGCAGCAAATTTTGAAAATCTTTGTTAAAATTTTTTGGGAATTTTAAAAATTTTTATAGATTAGGTTCAAGCTAATTAAAAAAAACATTGAGAGATGAATATTACTGAAATTAAGATCATGCTGAACCATTTTTGTTCTTTGCTGTTGTTTTAATTGTAATTTATTCAGTTCATTAGTAATCGGTTTTTCACGATTTGGGGAAAATGTGAACTTAACTTTGTGCCAATCGTATTGGATCATTAGCTGACCAACTGTGTACTTCACGATCATTAGCTGACCAACTGTGTACTTCACGATCATTAGCTGACCAACTGTGTACTTCACGATCATTAGCTGACCAACTGTGTACTTCACCATCATTAGCTGACCAACTGTGTAATTCACGATCCCTAGCTGACCAACTGTGTACTTCACGATCCTTAGCTGACCAACTGTGTACTTCACCATCATTAGCTGACCAACTGTGTAATTCACGATCCTTAGCTGACCAACTGTGTACTTCACGATCCTTAGCTGACCAACCGTGTACTTCACGATCATTAGCTGACCAACTGCGTACTTCACCATCATTAGCTGACCAACTGTGTAATTCACGATCCTTAGCTGACCAACTGTGTACTTCAGGATCCTTAGCTGACCAACTGTGTACTTCGCGATCATTAGCTGACCAACTGTGCACTTCACGATCATTAGCTGACCAACTGAGTACTTCACGATCATTAGCTGCCCAAACTGTTACTTCACGATCATTAGCTGACCAACTGTGTACTTCACGATCATTAGCTGACCAACTGTGCACTTCACGATCATTAGCTGACCAACTGTGTACTTCACGATCATTAGCTGACCAACTGTACTCACGATCATTAGCTGCCCAACTGCGACTTCACGATCATTAGCTGACCAACTGTGCACTTCCTCCATTACGCCACTGGCACCACATCGCGCCCTGCTCTTCACGATCATTAGCTGACCAACTGTGCACTTCACGATCATTAGCTGACCAACTGTGCACTTCACGATCATTAGCTGACCAACTGTGTACTTCACGATCATTAGCTGACCAACTGTGTACTTCACGATCATTAGCTGACCAACTGTGTACTTCACCATCATTAGCTGACCAACTGTGCACTTCGCGAGAAGAATTTGAAAGATATGAAGCAACTACAAAGGAAAGCCTACAAAGGAAGCCTACACAGTAGGCTTCTCGAGTACAGAGGAGTTAGCTGAAGCAGTAGAGTTGTGAAGACGATGTAATCAGTCCATCACCCTTGAAGACGTAGTTTTAAGGTAGTTAGTCTCTTAAAGGCAGCTCATTAGGAAGGGATTCTATAATGGACTTAATACATACTTTTAATGAAATATGCCTAACCTAAGCGAGCAGTAAGTAACATTAGTTAACATAATTGTAAAAATGCTGTCTATAGTTTGGATTTCATTCCTCGGAGACACAGTTTGGGAATGAACAGTAAACAATCTCAAAAAAAGCTAATAGTGGGTAGGGAAATTAGTGCAGTTTTAACTAAAATTACAGATATAATAAAATCCATATTATGCTTTCATTTAAGTGATTTAAGTTGAATTATAGGAAAGACTTTGGTTATTAATTTTATTGTATTTACGTTAGAAATGAAATAGGAAGGTTCCTGAGATTATAAGTACCATCGTCGACAAAATGTCCATCGATCATCCATCACAATCACCAATTTGCTAATGTATTTTCCAGGTACCCTATATTCACATGGTTCCAAACATGCTGCTTGAATCAATGAGTGACCTGGCAGGCAACCCACAGTTCCCTTCAACAGTAGGCAGTTTCCTATTGGACCTAGGCCACCCTCTTACCTTCACTGGCAGGATGATCAACACACTCAGCCACATACTGTATTCTGCTATCACTATGCATTACATAATTCCAAGGTGAGATTTTATGCTACCTGTCTTCGTAATCTGCTATTGTTTTTACATTGTCTTGAATTTTTATGCACCAGAGCATTTTTTTTAAACTGAATGTTAATTGTTTTTCCTTTGCTTCCTTTTTTACATGTTTTTTCTTCTTCCTAATTATTATCCTTGATTATGTCTTATATTATTTCTGTTACCAGTTTTTCACGGATGAAAGTTAAGTCAGGAATATGGCTAAACTCCCCGTTTAATAAAAAGGTAAATTATAAGATATTACTAAAACAGTAATATTAATATAAATAAAATAAAAATAATCAAGATGTTACATATATTTATTATTCAGCCTGAAGGGCTAATATAAGTAATTATAAGGTGTTGTAGTGTGGCAGTGGTGTGCCAGGTAGCGTTGGGGTGTTGTAGTGTGGCAGTGGTGTGCCAGTGTTTAAATGTTGGGGTGTTGGGGTGTGGCAGTGGTGTGCCAGGTAGCGTTGGGGTGTTGTAGTGTGGCAGTGGTGTGCCAGGTAGCGTTGGGGTGTTGTAGTGTGGCAGTGGTGTGCCAGGTAACGTTGGGTTTGTAGTTTTGGCAGTGGTGTGCCAGGTAGCGTTTGGGGTTTGTAGTGTGGCGGGTGTGCCAGGTAGGTTGGGGGTTTGTATGTGGCAGTGGTGTGCCAGGTAGCGTTGGCGTTGTTTTATGTGGCAGTGGTGGGGGGCCAGGACGTTGGCGTCTTGTAGTGTGGCAGTGGTGTGCCAGGTAGCGTTGGGTGTTTTAGTGTGGCAGTGGTGTGCCAGGTAGGTTGGGGGTTTGTTAGTGTTGGGAGTGGGGTGCCAGGTAACGTTGGCGTCTTGTAGTGTGGCAGTGGTGGCCAGGTAGCGTTTGGGGTTTGTAGTGTGGCAGTGGTGTGCCAGGTAGGTTGGGGTGTTGTAGTGTGGGAGTGGTGTGCCAGGTAGCGTTGGGTCTTGTATTGTGGCAGTGGTGTGCCGGTAACGTTGGGGTCTTGTAGTGTGGCAGTGGTGTGCCAGGGGGTTTTAGGGCGTTGGGGGTGTTTGTAGTGTGGCAGTGGTGGTGCCAGGGAGGTTTGGGGTTTTGTAGTGTTGGCCCGTGGTGTGCCAGGTAGCGTTGGCGTCTTTTAGTGTGGCAGTGGTGTGCCAGGACGTTGGTGGGGTGTTTAAGTGTGGCAGTGGTTGTGCCAGGTAACGTTGGGGGGTTGTAGTGTGGCAGTGGTGTGCCAGGTAAGTGGGGTTTGTAGTGTGGCAGTGGTGTGCCAGGTAGTTTGGGGTTTGTAGTGTGGCAGTGGTGTGCCAGGAAATGTTGGGGGTTTGTAGTGTGGGCAGTGGTGTGCCAGGGAGGTTGGGGTCTTGTAGTGTGGCAGTGGGGGTGCCAGGTAACGGTGGGTGTTGTAGTGTGGCAGTGGTGTGCCAGGTAACGTTGGGTTTGTAGTGTGGCATTTGGGGTGCCAGGTAAGTGTGGGGGTGTGTGTAGTGTTTGGGAGTGGTGTGCCAGGTAGTTGGGGTTTGTAGGTGTGGCAGTGGTGTGCCAGGTAGGGTTGGGGTTTTTTGTAGTGTGGCAGTGGTGTGCCAGGTAGTTGGGTTTGTAGTGTGGCAGTGGTGTGCCAGGTAGGTTGGGGTTTGGGGTTTTGGCAGTGGTGTGCAGGTAGGTTGGGTCTTTTAGTGTGGAGTGGTGTGCCAGGTAACGTTGGGTTTGTAGTGTGGCAGGGGGTGTGCCAGGTAACGTTGGCGTCTTGTAGTGTGGCAGTGGTGTGCCAGGTAACGTTGGGGTCTTGTAGTGTGGCAGTGGTGTGCCAGGTACGTTTGGCGTCTTGTAGTGTGCGTGGGTGGCCAGGTAACGTTGGGGTCTTGTAGTGTGGCAGTGGTGTGCCAGGTAACGTTGGCGTCTTGTAGTGTGGCAGTGGTGTGCCAGGTAACGTTGGGGTGTTGTAGTGTGGCAGTGGTGTGCCAGGTAACGTTGGCGTCTTGTAGTGTGGCAGTGGTGTGCCAGGTAACGTTGGCCGTCTTGTAATGTTGGCAGTGGTGTGCCAGGTAGCGTTGGGGTGTTGTAGTGTGGCAGTGGTGTGCCAGGTAGCGTTGGGGTGTTGTAGTGTGGCAGTGGTGTGCCAGGTAGCGTTGGGGTGTTGTAGTGTGGCAGTGGTGTGCCAGGTAACGTTGGGTGTTGTAGTTGTGGCAGTGGTGTGCCAGGTAGCGTTGGCGTCTTGTATGGTGTGGCCAGGTGGTGTTGCTCAGGTAGCGTTGTGAGGTGTTCTGTAGTGTGGCAGTGGTGTGCCAGGTAGCGTTGGGGTGTTGTAGTGTGGCAGTGGTGTGCCAGGTAGTGTTGGCGTCTTGTAGTGTGGCAGTGGTGTGCCAGGTAGCGTTGGCGTCTTGTAGTGTGGCAGTGGTGTGCCAGGTAGCGTTGGGGTGTTGTAGTGTGGCAGTGGTGTGCCAGGTAGCGTTGGGGTGTTGTAGTGTGGCAGTGGTGTGCCAGTGTAGCGTGGGGTTTGTAGTGTGGCAGTGGTGTGCCAGGTAGCGTTGGCGTCTTGTAGTGTGGCAGTGGTGTGCCAGGTAGCGTTGGCGTCTTGTAGTGTGGCAGTGGTGTGCCAGGTAGCGTTGGGGTGTTGTAGTGTGGCAGTGGCGTGCCAGGTAGCGTTGGCGTCTTGTAGTGTGGCAGTGGTGTGCCAGGTAGCGTTGGGGTCTTGTAGTGTGGCAGTGGTGTGCCAGGTCGCGTTGGCGTCTTGTAGTGTGGCAGTGGTGTGCCAGGTCGCGTTGGCGTCTTGTAGTGTGGCAGTGGTGTGCCAGGTCTCGTTGGGGTCTTGTAGTGTGGCAGTGGTGTGCCAGGTAGCGTTGGAGTCTTGTAGTGTGGCAGTGGTGTGCCAGGTAGCGTTGGCGTCAGGTGGAAGAAGTCTCCGGTGAGGAGCACAGGCTCGTGTTGATTATGACTGGTGGTCGAGACACTTGCTGATGTATTTGGCTGATGTAGGTTTCCGGGTTGGAAATGAGCCAGATAGTTGGATCCCAATTCGGTCAGCACGTAGGACATATTAGATTATGTAAGGTTTATCAGGAAACGGGACAAGTATTTCCTGATGCGAGCCTTAGTCATATGATGACCCGCAGCTGGAGCTTTTGATAATCTGACGAAGGCCTTCCACTGGCTTACCGTAGGACAATGTAACTTCCTTCCATACTCGCAAGTATTAATAGACTCCTTAGTATCAACTGAATTACACCCACATTCCGCTCAGGAACTATGCAAGTGTACCAGGCAAATGTGACAGTCCAAGGAAGGTGGGATTTCCGTAGTGAAGTGAGTCTCACATGACGCTCAGCTTACAAAGTAAGGTATCCTGATGACGTTACAGGCCGTGAACTCCAGTTCTGGCAAACACCCATTCCTAACGACATAATTTACATAACCCTGAAGTTTTCCCATACAAGTAAAATGGCTCAAACGTCACCCACGGTAAAAATTGTTGACGGTAAATATCTGATTAGGAACATATAATGAAAGAACTAACTTTCGCTGTTAACCAATAACGATATGCATAGAAATGTTCTTTTGTTACGTTATTATCAATAACAAAGCAACATTCTGCCACACGTCTAGAAATATATACGATGGAATCTATTCATTCGTAATCTCATTTTCATTCCCCGCATGATCAAAATACTTTTACAAATATGATTCAAAGTGTAATTTAAAATTACGTATAAAACTTACTGTAAAATAATAATAAGATAGAATTTGGCTTATATCCCGACGAATTTTACACAATAAAAAAAGAAAATATAATGTAAGGAATCCTTAGAATAGCGCTAGGTTTGCATCAAGACTAGTCTACAGATGAAGGAAATCGACCTACAGACACTGGAAGAAGGAGAGGATAGAAGGGTATAGAAAACGACATAAAAAAAAATATACTGAAGATAGGTATAGACTAGGTTGGACAGAGACAGATGTTCTAGAGATGGGACAACAGCACACGAGGCGGGTCATAGTTGGAAAGTTGAAGACTCGAGATGACACAGCGGATGTTGAGGACTATTTCTTCAGGTCATAGAGTTGTCAGTATGACCTGGAACACTTCAGAGATAATGTAGTGGCAGGGCAGGATCCATACGTAGCTTTAAGAAGAGGTATGATAAGCTCAGGGAGCGGGAACAGTGACCTGTAGTGGCCACTTTAAGGGGCGGAGCCGGGAGCTGTTAATCAACCCCCGAACCACAACTAGGTGAGTATATATATATATATTATATATATATATATATTATATATATATATATATATATATATATATATATATATATATCAATTGCAAACAGGCAATCTTAACAATGTAAGACAAGTCACGGGGGTAAAAATCTTTTGCTCAAGTACTTTCACACTATTCAGTGTGTCATCATAAGCTGTGCAATATTGCGAAGGGGAATTTTTTTTTAGAGTATAGTAGCGTGAGTGGCAGCCGCCAGTATCTCCCCTCACCCCACCCCGTATGTGTTCCGGTGCTGGGCCTTACAGTTTGCAGATAGCATGAGGTAGAGTAACTAAAAATATTTAATAGCCAACCCTAATCTTCTAACCGCTAAATCGACACCATGCCTAACCCTTCTAGGGTAGGGTAGGTGCCTGAGCTCATGAGACTGTCATTCCCATTAGCCCCCTTGGGGCGGGGATGGCAGACCAGAGAGGCCTAGCTTGTGGCTAGGCCTGGGGACAGTTGGTCCCAAAGATGAGGAGGTACTTGTACCTCCTCCCATGGGAGACTTAGGTCTCGAGACACTCCCCAGATAGGGAGCCAAGGCCGGGCCACCACTTGGAAAAGGCCCGGGCCGGGAGAATACCGGCTAATCTTTAATAATAATAATAATTCTATCCGCTGAGAACAAGTCATGTGACATTATAAATTACTTTATAAATACTAATCCACATGCTGAATGCAGCTATTGTGTGCAACCTTTTAATTAATAAAATAGAAAAGAATACCCTCATTTTGTCAAAATACAATACCCGATGTTCCAAAACCGTTTAGAATATTCAGTAAATACTCTGTGTCAATTAACTTGACACTGTGAGTTTTTCTTGATTATTCTAGATGATTCTAGAATCGAACCTTAGATATTTTAACCAGCCTCCCGAAAAGTTAGCTAGAATCATTGATGTCTTAGTCCACTAACACTTTTGATATACCTTTGAAGTGTTTCGATATCTTCTGATATCTTCAGGTAAGATGTTGTATAGTCTGGGACCCCGGATGTTTATACAGTGTTCCCTTATTGTCCCCACCGCACCCATGCTCCTCACTGGGTTTATTTTATACTTAGCTACAATGCTTCAAACGCCAGGTGCCCAGTAAGTACACTGAGCATGTAACTCCTGACATTAGCATATTTGTAGCCGTGGATACTAGTCTCACGAGCATTACAATTATTAATATGTGCGCTGACGCAATTTAAAAGACAAATATACTAAATTTTACTATTTTTTAAGAAAATTTAAATCTGAGTAGCCAATTACCCCGCACGCTTTAGAGATATTTAGGAAATAAAAAACAACGCTCAATGTTATTCAGGCAAATATTCTCCCACCTTAGCATTCGTTTTAATTACATAATGATGGAGAACTTCATCAGTGTGGCAGCAATCAAACACGAAGTCTTAATATCTGACGACCCTATGAATCGATCGATACCATGCCTAACCCTTCTAGGGTAGGGTAGGTGCCTGAGCCCGAGCCTTTAGCTCATAAGACTGTCATTCCCATTTGCCCCCTTGGGGCGGGGATGGCAGACCAGAGAGGCCTAGCTTGTGGCTAGGCCTGGGGACAGTTGGTCCCAAAGATGAGGAGGTACTTGTGCCTCCTCCCATGGGAGACTTAGGTCTCAGACACTCCCTAAAGAGGGAGCCAAGGCCGGGCCACCACTTGGAAAAGGCCCGGGTCGGGAGAATACCGGCTAATCTTTAACTAACTAACTATGAATCTTCTTATTATATATCTGAAAGATCCCAGGAATCAACATAAGTAAGGCAGCATTTTCAGTGTCTGTCTCTTCACTTTCTGAAGGATATTTTGGTTGTCTTACCCTATTTTTGCTTGCATTTAGTACAAGTAACAGTGTTTTCTTAAACTACCAGACTTGCATCAAGGTATGTCAAAGATGCACTGCAAAGAGGTTCGTATTTTTGTATCTAACTACGTCCAAACTTTTTATCAATACGTGTTGAAAATTATAGAGGTTGCCTTATTACGTCACTCGAAAATTACAATCTAAAAAAATGCCCCCTTCAAAAAAAAAAATGGAATTCTAAATATTGTAAGTTAGAAAACTAACATTTCTGAATACATGTTTAATTAAAGGTTATAAAAAGTTATTCATACATTACATATTGTAAATTTGACTCAGTTCCCCCTAGGTGACCACGCGCTCCCGTAAGTATACGCAGATTTACAATGTACTTTTTAATTCCAGTGAATGTTTCTAATATTTCAAAATGTCTCATGAATCTGATATGCTTGTACTGCTACTTTGCTCTCGTTAGTTATGAGAGTTTGCAGCGTATCTGGATATGTGTAAAACTACCAGATTTTTGCAGTATTATTGAATCTTTAGAGTATAACTTATTGGGACGATGTCTCAGTTCTGTCTCTCTCTTTCTAGGATGGCAGTCGAGGGTGACATAGACACCACCAGGCTCAGGGACATTCGACTCAACGGCAGTCTCGTTATTGTTAATAGGTATAGTAAACCTCCGGTATCTTAGAATCTACGAGACTTATCGTGATACCTGTGCCATTTATCTGAATGATTTAGTTTTTTTTTTTTTTTTGAGTGGCGTTTTTAAAGATGATGAATAAAACCTGAGTATCTTTATTCTGATAACATCTCGTTAATCAGTGCTTTCATCAGTTCAATACACAGGTATTGAAACTGAAGAAGACAAGGTAATCAGTCCCTTAGCCTACATGGTGTTCAACACCGTATTCTTGATGAATCTGAATCAGATAAGGTGCAGCAGTACTACGTATCGTCACTGTGGGCGACCTTCTCTTGGAAGTACGTCATGACCAAGAACTGGGCCAGAGAATAAAGAAAATATCCTCTGTACCAAGCTTCTGTGTCAGGCATGTGTAATTCATAAGTTTTGTAGGTATTACCATATATATCTGACACAGCAGTACCATTTTTTTCTTGGTACGAAGGATTTTTGTTTCTTCAATCTCTTGCCTAACTTCCTGGGCATGGCCCACCACCACTAGTGGGTACCTCCCTCCCCCCCACACTGACGATGCTTCCTACAATTACGTCTCGCCTGACTGCTGAATCAGCGACGATCATCATGCTAGTGCTTCAGATTCATGAAAATTTCGGTGATGAGCAAGTTGTATACCTGACTGAAAAAAAAATCATAAAATCTTAATATGGGATTCACAATGTTAAAAGACACTCGAAATCTAAAAAAATTATGCCACTGAAAGAAAAATGAGTGGATTTACTATTAACTTTAAAACTAACAATAATCTAATCGTCAAGAAACTTTTTTCTGTATTATTTGGGCAAATTAAAGAATGACACCACTGACAAAGAATTACTGTTAGTTTTAAAGTGAATGTGTTGGCAGATGAAAATGTTATTTAATGGATGAGGTGAATCATAAAGTAAACTAGATGTGTTTCAGTCGCTACATGGTAAGTGCACCTCCATCCATTCCCTACCTAAATGTAGGCATTAGAACTAGTGCAGGGTGGTGATAAAATTAAAATATAATACAACATAATAACATGTATAAGTGTATATGTAGCCACAGATTCTTGGAGATTTGAAATAAAGTATGTGCAACATCCTGACCGTTAGGTAAGACACATATGCAACAGTTAGGTATCTTTATTTCGAAACGTTTCGCCTACACAGTAGGCTTCTTCAGTCGAGTACAGAAAAGTTGATAGAAGCAGAAGAGACTTGAAAACGATGTAATCAGTCCATCACCCTTAAAGCTTTGAGGTGATCAGTCCCTCAGTCTGGAGAAGAGCATTGTTCCGTAGTCTGAAACAATATGGAGTTGAAGTGACAGGATGGAGCCTTATATAGCGCCAGGAGGTGAGACGTAGGTCACTAGTAGAACGCAGATGTTGGGAGGTCAGGTCCTTCTCAAATCAGCCGTTTTCACTAGTAGAGGTTGTCGAAGTTGATTTCAGGTCTGTACCAAGATACCCTTGTGTTGCAGTGTCTGACAGATTGAACATTTAAATGGTATAAAATACCGACAGATTGTTAGGTAAGACACATGTGCAACAGTTAGGTATCTTGGTACAGACCTGAAATCAACTTCGACAACCTCTACTAGTGAAAACGGCTGATTTGAGAAGGACCTGACCTCCCAACATCTGCGTTCTACTAGTGACCTACGTCTCACCTCCTGGCGCTATATAAGGCTCCATCCTGTCACTTCAACTCCATATTGTTTCAGACTACGGAACAATGCTCTTCTCCAGACTGAGGGACTGACCACCTCAAAGCTTTAAGGGTGATGGACTGATTACATCGTCTTCAAGTCTCTTCTGCTTCTATCAACTTTTCTGTACTCGACTGAAGAAGCCTACTGTGTAGGCGAAACGTTTCGAAATAAAGATACCTAACTGTAAAGTAAAAGGACACAAGTGCAACTAATGTGACATTTATTGTGGCAACGTTTCGCTCTCCAGGAGCTTTATCAAGCCATTACAAACAATACATGGACACACACAGAGCGAAACGTTGCCACAATAAATGTCACATTAGTTGCACTTGTGTCCTTTTACTTTACATATTGTCGGTAATTCTACCAACTTTATTACAAAGATACCTAACTGTTGCATATGTGTCTTACCTAACAATCTGTCGGTATTTTATACCATTTTAATGTTCAACATCCTGACCACTGGGGCAGCATCACACTGCAAGGATATTGTCCAACCCAACACATTCCTCAGCAATGTAAAGTTGCAGTGATCACCAGTTGTTGCCCAACTGTCATTTTTATAGAGATTATCTCACAGTAGTGCAGCAAGCCAGGCAGAATCATGCTTTTGTCTCCTTTTATCATTTACGAACTATGATAACATAAAAGTCACTTGTAATAATCCACACGTTTTTGGAGATTAGACCTGGAGTCTGTCTGTTGTGTGTATGTATATTTGTTCGTATGCATATTTTGTGTATAAATGTACACCATGGCGAATGAGTGCATGTATGTAAGTGTATGTGAATATGTGCTAATATAATGTTTAAGCTTTTGCTTATGTATGATATACTCACCCATATGTGGTTGCAAGGGTCGAGTCTCAGCTCCAGCCTCATCCCTGGGCTGGCTACTGCTGACATTGAGAATCCTATAGTGACTCTTCTTAAAGCATTTGTCACTCCACAACCTGTGTAGTTTCACTTCCTGATAATTATAAGGCTGAAAAAAATGCTTCCTAACCTCCCTGTCACTCATCTGTGTTTTAAGCTTCTAGCTCGTGCCTTTGAGTTTCTGCCTCCCGTCTGTCAAATAGTCTGTCCCTATTTATCCTATCAGTTCCTCCTAATATTTTGATTCATAATCATATCGCTCTTAGTCCTCCTGTCATATAATGTTTCAGTTTAGCGCCTTTAATCTTTCCAGATAGCTCATATCCCTCTCCAATTTTTCCATCTTTCTAACATGCTTCATCTAGTGTGAATTATGTACAAATGATGGATTCTCCAATATGGGCTTTTATATATAGTGTAGAGAATGACTCATTGCTTAGATTCCTGAAAGATAATTTTCGGTTTGCCACACGTGTAATTGTTGCGTCAGTAATTCGGCAATTAAAAGTTTTTACGCCTAGCCTGCAGAGCCTGTACTCCATATATGGTCTTCTCCAATCCTCATTATTTTACATTTGCTTGAGTTAAATTCTCAAAGCCACCTGCCATACTAGACTTGCAGTCTGTCTAGATCTGTATGTAGTCTATCCTGATCCTTACCTGTTTGACTTCTCCTTAGTTTCTCATCATCTGAGAACAGGAATGCCTTTATCTCTTCCACCCTGTCGTTCACGAACAGAAGAAATTGTTCCGGTCTTAGTATTGATTCTTGTAGATTCCCATTTGTCATGTGCATTCATTCCGAAACCTTTTCTCGGACAACTGTTCATTGCTTTCTTAATATTAAGTTTTTCTTGATCATTTGCTATACCTTCGTGTTATCCCTGCTTGCTTCTTCAGCTTTTCACTAATTATGTTTGAGGTATTGTATCGAAAGCCATCTTACAGTACAAAAACATACAAACAATCCAATCATCCTTTTCTATTTCCTGCCTCACTTATGTTACTTTATCGCAGAACTCTTCTAGTTTTATGGCCCAGGATATACCATTTCTAAAGTTCTGTTGGTTGTTGTTAGTGAACTCACCCATTTCCAGGTGCACCACCACTCTTCTCTTGATCATATTCTCCACGTCAGTGACACCGTCAGTGACACCGTCAGTGACACCGTCAGTGATACCGATAGTGACACCGTTAGTGGCACCGTCAGTGACACCGTCAGTAACACCGTCAGTGACACTGGTGTGTTGTTTGTCATACTTGTTTGTTGCCTTTCTAAAATATTTTGACTACCTTTATTGTCCTCTATTACAACCTAGGAACACTAAGGCCTGTTATCCTGGGTGTAAAGGGGAAGCAAGGAGCAGAACAAACACAGCTGAATGACTTTGAGATATATTTTGCTCCACCAAGAGCAACAGTACTTATGTACAGCTATGTACACTATATACAGTTGGAAACGTATGTGTACAACACGGTTTGGACAAGGCCAAGACAAAGCCTGAAGACAGAATGGACAACCGTGCTCAACCAGCTCTAGTATGGAAATGACAGGGGTAGACAGGCGGGTGGTGCCTACAACACCTCTACGATTGCCAGAACCACCTTCTCATTGGCTCAACCTGGGTACTGATTGAACGATGGGGCCCCATTGTTCGACCCTAGTACTGGTTCGCTGGTTGGAGAGATAGCCTTTCAATGAGGGTGTGTACATGCGCCGAATAAAGGTTACGTACTCTTTTGCATGCCACATCCTCACCTTCGCAATTGCCCTGTGTCGAATGAGTTTCTTGAAGACTGTTTGCATGTATGCATGTTCATATTTATGTATACATGTATTTTTACACATGCTTATGTATGTGTGGGTATCTGAATATGTATGAGTGCTAATATGGGTGGGTATGTAAGCGTGAGTTAGAGTATGAATGGGCATATGTAAAAATGTACATATTTTTGCTTGTATGTTCGTTCACTTTTGCATACATGTGTGTATGCATAAGTATATGTGCCTGTGTGTGTATGTTAGCGTGTATATATTACTGTATGTTTGCGTGCACATAATTACATATGTATATATGTAGGTATATGTTTATATGTATGTATGAATATTTTTTTGTATGTATGTATGCAATATTTTGTGGATGTATATGAGTATAAATATATACTTGTTCATGCGTATTCACATGAATATTCATACATGTGGATTTATGAGTTTATTATCGCCACCATCACCATCATCACCATCATCCCCACTATCACCACCACCATCACCACTACTATCACCACCACCATCACCACTACTATCACCACCACCATCACCACCACTATGCGCATTTGAATATGCATAAATTTATAACCAATAACAAAATAAGTCATTGGGTGATACTCTCCCTGTGATAAACTGATGA